GCAATTTTCCTGCGGGCTTGGGGGGGGGGCGTTTTTGTTTGTTGTTAACCTCAAAGCTATAAAAAGGGCTAGCAATCGAACCCCGATATATAGCGTTATAAGCCCTAAGATTTACCGTTGACCCACCGGAGGCGTTCTGACGTAACATTTTACAAACATAAAATACTCTTAGAAATCACTGTATCATGATATCTTCATAGTATATGAAAACAATTCAACAATAACAGAAAGATTGTGTGCACAAGTTTCGTCCACGTTACACCTTTTAAAATATAATCACATATACAACTCTAGAAAATTATGTAGCCGATTTATAGAAGGAAATTATCTTCGATGATGACAAACATTAGATACCAACAACACCACTGTAAAATTGTATGGTCAAAGCTATTTTGAAAGTGAGACTTCCAATGTTCCTGGATTTTCATTGGATGATTTAATCGTTTAGGAAGGAAAATTATAATAACTAATTACCGATGAGGAAATATCGTTTAAAATTTCATGTAGCGGTATATTAATGGAAATGTACTCACGAAATATAACAAGTTTCTCATTAGTGCGAGTGTTAAGGTGGATCACAACAGGGATCGCAATGACAGTTGTAATCCATGCGTTTTATTTTTCGAATGTATGGAAAAGACAGGGCGAAACTATAGAATCACTGTGGTGAGTAAAATGCATTTCAAAACACCGAAAATGTTGTTCTATTGTTAGCAGGTTCCTAAATTATCCAGTAAAAATTATTCAATTTTCAGTCTCCGTGACGACAATAGATTACTTCACTTCCTCTTTTAACAAGCTTGAACACTGGCGTAAACTGTTGTAGGCCTAGGTTACAAATGACGTTCAAACTTCTCTAACAATACTAAGTTTAATGTAATATCAACTTGTACAAATTACCTCAATAACAGCGATAAACAAGTTTTGAGTACTTCACGAGAACGTCTACTGATTCATTTCTCCATCTTCAAATATATGTCTTGGTAACAGTCTTTTCCAAACCTCTAGTTATAAACTTTAGAGACTTCACGTCACATCCTTAGAATTTTTTATGTGTTCTAAATCTTATTAGCCCTTTTGGTCTTAACGTCATCATTAAGACCCGCAGCTAGTTAACTTCCACATTGCAACATTGAAAATATAACTTATAGCAATATGACACGCACTAAGATACTACATGAAGCCTAGTCTTACACTTTCGATTTACCCATGGTTGCTGAAGAGGAGTGGAACTCCCTTAAATTGGTATAACTCAAATGACAAGTGGGAAATTGAATGATATATTGGACTTCACCTTGATTTAATACTTTGAACAGCTGAATAGTTTATAGAAATAAATCGGTAGCATAAATACTACATGTTCTTAATCACATATAGATATAGGATCATTTCGGGGAGTAAGACACAATCAAAACACTATACATATAAAAGGCACCAAAATTCTGTATTTCTGTAATTTCCACAAGAGCTTTAGGAAATACTTGCCCGCAAAAAACCGACGTTTAATTGTATGGGGCAACGTTTAGCTTTTCGCGAGTTATTTTTCTTTTTTATACAAATCAACTGTTAATTTTCTTG